ATATTTACCATTGCTCCTCTCATTCAAACTTTATAAATGGAGTATTTTAGTCTAGTGAAAATTCCCAAAGCCAACCACATCGATTCGTACTATATAGATGGTATAGATATCTTAATCATCTATGCTTATTTTGAGTTCAGGTTTGATTAAGAAACCTTATTTCATTAAAACATGTTGTTTTTGGCAGGTTTGAGTTAGATTAGAAATTTTACTATCTTGGAAAAGCTTAGAATTGCCTATAAGCATACCATTGTACAATCTCTAAATTAGTGACTTGAGTTCGATTTCCTTTGATTTTTTTCTTCTTGTGTATTCAAGAGTTTTCTTATTGAGAAAAGACAGCCTTCTTCACGCTCCCTCTACATCAAGTGTTTTCACTTTATGATAAAAAATTTGTGTGTTTAGTCACACAAACAAAAAGATTATCTAACATCAAAGATAAAGAGTTTCAAAAGCCTCCACCCTCATCCCACCAAATCATTTAGCTTTTTGGGCCATACACATAGTAACCAATGCATCATACTGTCAGAATAGAAATTCCAACCCTATTGATTGGCAAAGACAACCCCAAACCAAATAGCTCTTAGCCTCCAAGATACATATATTGCTATATATTCTATGTATATTTATTTATATTATATATATTATATATTTATATTAAAAATTAATAAATATGCATGATATATATAAATATATATTTATAATATATAATACATAATAAATTATTTATTATTTAAAATATAATATTTTATATATATTTCTAATATTTTATTATATATTTATATATTTTTTATAATATATATTGTAAATATAAAAAACCAAAAATTCGATGAACCAAATTGATGATTAACCGATAATATTGGTTCAGTTTCAAAAATAGGCCCAACCTAACTATGAGCACCCCTAGCAAGAAACCAACAACAACTGCAATAAAATAGTTATTATTAGTGGTGATAAATACACCAAAGAAAATTTGATTCTTAGCCCAATCTAAAGCCATCGAGTTGAGTTAATGGTGATAAAATAGTTATCATTAGTGGTTAAAGAAACTCACATGTGAGGGGGAGATTGTTGGGATGCACATGTAAGTAGGTGTGTGGAATGAATGAAAGAAAGTCCCACATTGGAAAGACACAAAAAGTGAAAGGGACTTATATACAAGAGTGCCCCAAAACCCAATAACTTATGCTTTTGGGTTATAAGTGGTGTCCATCTCTTGTGTACAAGCCTAACGCACATGTATATGTGCGAGCCCCCTATTTTGGCGACTCCTCATGGTCTGTGACTCCCTACAAGGCACAACACCAGCCTCTATATTCATGAGTTCAGTATAGTGCACTTGTACTTGATGGATCACTTGTATGGGGCAAGGGTCAAAGATAGCTCCTTCCATCATCATTTTGCAACCTACCTTCCAAGCATACCAAAGAGTGAGAGAGGCCATCTAGACTAGGAATGGCAATGGGGCGGGGCACCCCGTCCCCATCCCCGCCCTGTAGTCAAGATACTTTGCCCTGCCCCTGCCCCATCCCTAGTGGTGGGGCGGGTTCATGGTGGGGCATCCACTCCCCATTGGGGATAGATAATCCCCAAATTTTTCCCGCTCCATGGAAACTTCTTAAAATTATTTATTTTGTGAACAATTTACACATATAATATAGGAATTTGAGGGTATTTTAGGAATTGAATTACAATAATTTGGGGGTACTTAAAAATGGAATTATGGAATTCTAGGATTTTAAGAATTTAGGGAAAACTTAGAAATATTTTAAATATCAATATTAAACCTAGAGATATTTTACTAATTTTACCTTCGGGTTTGGGGACTTATATACAAAACCCATCCCTAGTTCAAGGGAAAAATATTTTCCCCATCCTCGCCCCATCATCGTTTAGGGTTGGGAAAACCTGCCCCGTTCAGGGCGGGGCGGGGCAGGGCCTTGATAGCTATAAATATATAACCCTAGCAAGTGCACTACTTATCAAGTAGTATAATAATATCGTTCCCACGGGGATTTAACAAAATAAGTATTAGAACCACAGTCTTTCCTAATTATTTAGACAATCGAAATTCAGATTTAAGCAAGAACTACTGAAAATAAAAACTAGAAAAAGAAAATAGAAACAAAAGTGATCACTAAACGAATATGCAATGGATGAAATCGCTAGAGCTTTTGGTCCACCTAACCAATGTAATGAATATTGATGGGTTCGATTAACCAAGATTATTTGTCATTCCCATAAGCTGAGGTCTTTCCAATTTTATTTAATATTCTCTCTCGAGATATACTAAACCTACGCCCATCAGGTAACCCTTCAATCTCTCGAATAAAGCTCTCAAGATGGGAGTGCATTA